TCATGTTCTTATATATTTTGGTTCACTATAAATTAGTGAGCCCGAAATAGAAAAATTAATTGGATAGGCTCACTGCTTAAAAACTCATTTTTAATTTGATTAAATTAAGTTGACACATTAAATGATCCAAATTATTTTAATCCCTATATTTTATTTAAGGGATTCACATCACTATTTACCTCTTGATAAAGACAAAAACTGTCCTTAATAGCTCAATATGATTTGAAATTTGCCCAATAACCTTTAAAAGAGGCCCATTAAGGTCGATAATAGCCCGATAGCATTCAAAAGTGATAAACAAAACAATTCATATTCAATTTTGAAGTCCACTTGACATAGATAATATATATGTTTAAACATAAAATATGGTTAATCCTAATTTGGAGAAAGTTTATTTTATACTCCATATTAATATAAGAATTTTATTTTATACTAATATAAATATTAATATAAAAGGTAATTTTATATTAATATAAAAGTTTATGTGGATGAAGAAAATACGGATATCAATGCGATAAATCTGCATATCACAATGTCAACAAAAACATAGTTATCACAATTTCCGGTGCACCATACTCAAAATCCACCCACTTCTGGCTTGTTGAACACCATTTACGGCCCTAATAAATTATTAATAATGGGATACATGAGCGTGTGGGTATTAATTTAGATGTTTGACTTTTGACGCAGTCCTTAGGCAGCCAGTCTACAAGTGGGTTTTGGTCCATATTCTCTTGCTCGATTGCTTCCACCTTAAGCACCCACTCTCCAAGTGAAAAAAGCCTTCTCTCAAGCTTCATTCAATAGTTTTCTTATGGGTCAAAAGTTAATTTCTTAATACAAAAATTACCCCTTTCAAAAAAAAAAAAATACCACTCATTATTGTCTCACCGATTAGGATTGACCAGTCATGTGCACTACTCCTATCAAGTGTGCTAAAATATACTCGATCGAGCGTTGGATTTTGACTTATCCTTTAATAATACTACGTAACATGTTACTCCCTCACTCTTGTTTCTTTTGGACACAAAGAATAACAAAGCAGGATAGAGATACTAAAGAACCTTATTTTATTGTGTTGTTCATCCTTTTATTTTTACTGTTCATTAAAAAGGAAGAGTATAAATGGTAATACACTTTTAGTTCTTTACCAAAAAGGAAACAATATCATCATTTTGGGACATCCCAAAAAGGAAATACAGGACCATCATTTTGGGACGGAGAGAGTAATAAATATGAAACTAAAAGAAGAAAATGAATGCGGGATATTATCAATTGGCATACTTTCACGTGGTACACTATGTAAGAACTTCTATTTGATGGCGCTAATATTTGAGTTTATAAATGAGATTTATAAGACTATAACTAAAATACAATATATAGATTCAGAGTTGTTTTTTTATACCAAGAAAAATTAAATGACTACATCCATATCTATTTTACATCCATCTAACATTCTAACTTCCACTTCCAAAAAAAAAGTCATTTACTTCCAGATCAGATAATTTCTCATAATTTTTTGAAAGGATTGTATGTTCATGTATAAGTTTATCTACAATAAGAATTTTTTAAATTGGAATATACAGCATTCAACCGAACTTTTACCTAAATGCTGTCATCAAAAATGAGTTTTTTTTAATCTGAAATAGTTTGTGCCGATAAAAAATCATTAATTAATATGGATACAAATTGTTAGTTACATGAAATGATTTGTGGATTTTGTGATCAATAATGTGTTGGGTTAAGGGCCCAAGCCGAGGTCCGGCCCACTAACCCATTTTGCTAGACGAACATCCAGTTAGAACACTAGGCCAACCCACGGGCCCATGTTCCCTGAGGATGGACGAACGTCTGGTGTTGGGGGACTCAGGCCCAGCAGCTCATCCCGACGAACGTATATGCAGGGACAAGGAGCAGAACCACGGGCCACCAGGGATGGCGACGAACGTCCCCACTACAAGCCTGTAGTCATCGGGGAAACCCAGTCCGCATGACGAATACCATCCAAGGCCAGGAGACGAACAGCCGATATCTCTCAAGGGTACACTTGGAGCAATCCAACTCACTTCCCGGGTTGATGAACGTCCCCACTAATCCGGCGGGAAACCTAGATTCTGGCGGGAAGTGCATTTAATGCTAAAGATTTGGTAGTTGGGACACCAGCGGTCCACAGGCTGCCACGTCACTACAGCCACCTGCCCATTGGCGGGTATAAATAGAAGCATTTATTTCATTGTAAGGGGTTGGCAACTTTCTATTCTTAGCACTAGCTATAGCATCCTTACTCGCAGCACTTCTACTGCCTTGTAAGACGAACGGCCGACGGAGCCCTTAGCAAGAAGTATTGTATTAGGGAGTTATTAAGAGATAATAATACCGAACCATTTACTTGCTACTTCTTGTTCTCTATAGTTCATATCATCTGCTTGTTGGGTTAGATATCATACACTCACTCCACTCGAAATCTTTGGGCTTACGTGTTGGGTCCAAGGGTTGAAGGAATAAACCTCAACACTGGCGCCGTCTGTGTTGGGTTAAGGGCCCAAGCCGAGGTCCGGCCCACTAACCCATTTTGCTAGACGAACATCCAGTTAGAACACTAGGCCAACCCACGGGCCCATGTTCCCTGAGGATGGACGAACGTCTGGTGTTGGGGGACTCAGGCCCAGCAGCTCATCCCGACGAACGTATATGCAGGGACAAGGAGCAGAACCACGGGCCACCAGGGATGGCGACGAACGTCCCCACTACAAGCCTGTAGTCATCGGGGAAACCCAGTCCGCATGACGAATACCATCCAAGGCCAGGAGACGAACAGCCGATATCTCTCAAGGGTACACTTGGAGCAATCCAACTCACTTCCCGGGTTGATGAACGTCCCCACTAATCCGGCGGGAAACCTAGATTCTGGCGGGAAGTGCATTTAATGCTAAAGATTTGGTAGTTGGGACACCAGCGGTCCACAGGCTGCCACGTCACTACAGCCACCTGCCCATTGGCGGGTATAAATAGAAGCATTTATTTCATTGTAAGGGGTTGGCAACTTTCTATTCTTAGCACTAGCTATAGCATCCTTACTCGCAGCACTTCTACTGCCTTGTAAGACGAACGGCCGACGGAGCCCTTAGCAAGAAGTATTGTATTAGGGAGTTATTAAGAGATAATAATACCGAACCATTTACTTGCTACTTCTTGTTCTCTATAGTTCATATCATCTGCTTGTTGGGTTAGATATCATACACTCACTCCACTCGAAATCTTTGGGCTTACGTGTTGGGTCCAAGGGTTGAAGGAATAAACCTCAACAAATGGGCATGTGGATAAGTTATTGATTTAATCATAAATATTCTGATCTTCACTCAACCTAGAGAGACATACTCCTTGCCGCCTTGGTTCGCTTAACTATAATCTTGCAGTTAGATGACAATTATATTAAAATCATATAGTAAACAATTAGTGGACACATTTTATTTAACACTTCACTTCATAGCCTCTAAAGTCAAGATAGATTTATATGGGACATTGAAACATCCTCACAATTAATAGTATTGGTGCAGACATCATGAGTGGAGCTAGAGAGGATCCAACCTAGTGACTCACTCCAGTGCTCTGACTCTGCCTCAAGGTGCAAAATCACATTACATGGTGGTGCCAAAAGATCGAGCAACTAGTCTTTGACCATTTATAGTCTCCTATGGTGGTGTTGACCATCATAAAGTCAACATACACCAATTGAAATGTGTAGGCACAAATCACAAAATGAAAAGAACAAAAGACATAAGGGAATAGGTTGACACAATTTAACTGGTAAATGAGCCGTGTGGTGTATATGATACAATTTTCATAAGCATAATAATAACTCTATATATATTAACCATTTAGAGCAAAAAATATTATAATTTCGAACTTTTGCCATATAAATTATTGTGCAACCTTCTCCCATATAGTATTTGAATTTCTATTCATGGGATATATATCACATGAGAGTACGTGTGTTTGCACTCACCTTGAAGTTATGAACTATTTAGTGGTGAAGTTTAATTTAAATTTGAACAGATCTAAACAAATTAGATCAAACAAAAATATATATAATACTCCGTATGTAATAGCAATTGCACACAATACAAAAGGTAAAAGAGGTTAACCAAGATTCAATCTTCGATAGTTTTTTTTTGACAGACATTCTTAGATAGTTAGATGACATGACAATTGCTGACAAACATAGGTGTTTAATTGACCCAAATTGTTTTGCAAAGTCAACATTTTTTGGTCAACCAATAATAAAAGTCAATGCTCGTTATCCATAATTAATTCAATTTTTAACAATTAAAATTTTTATATTCAGAAACTTCATTAAAATCTCTTCAAAGTTGTAAACTCCAAATTAAAATATAATTAAAAATTGACATCCTAATTAAGTGTATAAAATGAAACTGTTTGACCAAGAAAAGTTAAATTTGCAAATCAATTTGGGATGGAGATAGTACTTTAATCCAAAGTGCATTGTCCACACACATATAATTGGTTCTCTTCTTAATAAAACCGAAAATAAAACATTCAATTTGAGATAATCCATAAAAAAACATCATTAATTAAGGACAGAAACATAGAAACTATTAACTAAACTCCATTAACTGAGAGGATGCGAATTAAATTTTAATTGCAAGTTAACACACAATGAGTATTTGAGTAGGACTCTAGCTCAAGTACTTGCAAAAACTCTGCATTTCCACATAGTGACCGATCATTACGATTTAGAACCCGATATAAATTTTGTTGTAGACAAATGTCACACACACATGTAGACTTTGCAGGGGTTATTGAAGATGCTTCTCTTGTCTAATTTCACCCTATATTAAAGGGCAGTAAAATATCATCGCCTACATAGAAGCACTACTAGAGCAATTACTTGAGCAACTGTCTCACTTCCATATCACTTCACTCACGCAACTTCCTCCAATTCCGTCATCTATTTATACGCCTTTTTTCCAACCTCTTCCAGACCCGCACAACTTCTTTCACCTTTATTAACAAACTCTCATCTCAGCTACTCTTTCCGATATGGCTCTCCAAGCTCTGAACTCTCCGACCACTCCGCCGCCGTCAGTCTTTCAGTTCGACACCGCCACCACCAGCCTCGATCAGCGGTGGTCAACGGGGAAGCGATCCAAACGGCAGCGCAGCGACGACCTTCAGCCCACCGAGGAAGAGTATCTGGCTCTCTGCCTTATCATGCTCGCTCGAAGCGGTGATGGGTCTTCGTTTAAACCGGAATCGGATTCAAAGCGGTGCCTACAGCCGCCGCTTGCGGCGGCGGCGGGTGCAGCGGAGGCGGCGGAGCAGGGGCTCATGTACAAGTGCTCTGTTTGCGAAAAGGCGTTCGCGTCTTACCAGGCACTAGGAGGGCACAAGGCGAGCCACCGTAAGCAGGCCGGAGGCGGCGGCGATGACCAATCAAATTCCTCTACCACCTCCGGTGCCGGCGCCGGTGGAAGGACCCACGAGTGCTCCATCTGCCACAAGTGCTTCCCCACCGGGCAGGCCCTGGGCGGCCACAAGAGGCGCCACTACGAAGGCACCGTCAGCCACGGCGGAGCAGCCGCAGGCGCTAGAGGCGGCGGTGCTGTAACGTATTCGGAGGGAGCGGGGTCCACCAACAGCCACCGTGGATTTGATCTGAACCTCCCTGCCTACACCGGAATGTGCCCTGTTTCAGGCGAAGATGAGGTGGAAAGTCCTCACCCGGCGAAGAAACCGCGTGACCCAATTGCAACAAAGTTCGATTTGATATAAGAAAACGTGCTAGGATGTCTTGTTTTCGTATAAATCGTTTAATTTCTTTATTTTATTCCATTTTTTTTCGTTAGTTTATACACACAAATTCTTTGTTGTAAATATAGTTTGTGCTACTCAATTAGTATATTTAAATTTAGTTTTATTTTAGTTAAATCTAGTATTGATCGTTAAGATTTTGAGGAAGTTCTCTTAAGAGGCGTAACACATTATAAATTTTCTAAATTAGGAAGGGAAAGTTCCCGAAATGAGACTAAAAAAGTTCGAAAATTCCAAAATAGGACTGTCATGTTTTTATTACCAAAATAAGACTAATTACTGCCAAATTTGGAAAATACTGTCATGTTTGAAGTCTGGTACTTCCAAAACATGGCAGTAATTAGTCCTATTTTGGGAATAAGAACATGGAAGTTCTATTTTAGAATTTTCAAACTTTTTTAGTCCCATTTTGGGTAATATCTCAATTAGGAATTGCATTGTTTTCCGGGAAAGTTCCCGAAATGGGACTAAAAGAGTTTGAAAATTCCAAAATAGGACTGTCATGTTTTTATTCCCAAAATAGGACTAATTACTGCCAAATTTGGAAAATACTGTCATGTTTGAAGTCTGGTACTGTCAAAACATGACAGTAATTAGTCCTATTTTGGGAATAAAAACATGGAAGTTTTATTTTGGAATTTCCAAATTTTTTTAGTCCCATTTTGGGTAATATCTCTTCTTTTCCTCTTCGAATAGGCGTAGTATATTATTTTATTAAGGCATACTAAATCCTGTTTTAGGAACTCTAAATTGCTAATTCCGTTGGTGACTTGGTTTTCACGTTAACCGTGTAGTTGTGTGGTGGAATTCATCGGATCAACCGTAATGAATAATTCATGAAGGTCCAGTAGACCAGTACGGTCCAAAACCAGGTTCAGTATTGTTTGGGACTGGACCAAGTTGGGTTTTCCGGTCCTGGGTCAAGACTGGGTATCCGGTAGGCAGTGGCGAATTTAGCCTTTATAATTTTGGTGTTCAAATTGAATTAAAATTAAAATGAAATACTCATACTACGTATTAATTATCAATTTCATAAGCAAGGCAATTTTTTAAAAACCTTGTTATTCACACTAATAAATATAGCTATCTACTTCTGCATCACGGGTGAGATTTAGGGAGAAACGGTGGAGTTCTATTTTCTAAACACTAACAAAATGAAGATGTTTTGATAATAAATGAACACTCTTGAACAACACCAGCTCCATCCCTGCCGGTAGGGACACAAGGTAAAAAGGATACCCAGTCCCGATTCCAATATTTGGGTTGAACCGGGTGGTTCCGGTCCTAGTTTCAGTCTGGGACCGACCATTTTTCATTATTACCTAAAACTTGTAAAAAACATAACAAGTCTAGGATCGGGACTAGACCGCTCGGGTACCCGGAACCGGCCATGACCCGGAAAATAGCGGATCAGGCCCGAGCCTCATCAAAATATTGTTGCGACCAGGTGACCCGACCAACCCGGGTCCACCACTAAGTAAACTCTTGCAGATCTAGTATGAATAGATACATCCTCTCTCGAGTACCATTTTAGATTGAAAACATGCTTATACACTTGTGCAATTTGCATACGTTACAATACTGGCGGATAGAAGGGTACAAAGTAAAATGTACGGAGTATAATGGTAGGTCCTAATTCCTAAGCACAGAGGAAATTATAAAACATAATGAAGGTAAATTCTTAATAACCCGAAGCCATAAATTAGTAACCTAATCGGTAACTTTTAATGATTATTGTTATGTTCAGTTTTGCACATGAGTGACCATGAATGTAGTAACCATAATAACTTTAGATGTGATAATTTGTAAGTTTTCTAAACAAAGAGGTCACACAAAGAGGAGGATGAGAAAAGAAGAGAGAAGGTGAAAAAGGAAACAGAAAGAAGAAGAAATGAGAATAAACATGAATACTAGTAAACTTTTAACATAGTTTTTTGTTGATTCTTTAGTTATTCTTCTTTGTTGGGAGTTTTATTTGATTAGTGGATGAAATTAAAATTATACACGTTTAGAAGTGCAGAAAAGCCATAGAGAATAGTAGTATTAAATTTTATTAGGAACATGCTTAATAGGAACTTGCTTTCATGTTTCAGAACTCAAAAGCTGCTTAACTTTTTACCTATGTACGGCCAAGAGGAGCAGTTTGACCGCACTTGACTAAAGTTGACTAAGTTTCGGGAGGATAGAAAGTACAATCTTTGAGGTGAAGATTTGGCTTTTTTATGTGTTTATAACTCGTGGATTGAGGATGAGATAAATCAAATCATGAATTTTATGATTAAGGATACTTAAGAATTTATAAATGAAGTGAATTGAGTTATCGTTATGGATGAATGCGACTATGATGCTTGTTGAGCTTGTGGTGCTCCATTGGTCCCTCTTTGTGAATTATCTTATAAGGTTATAAACCGATTGGAGTGGAATAGAGAATGGTCTTTGGCACACTCGTCATACATAAATGTAGGGGAAGATACATCCACAAAGCATGTATGTTATTGAACTATTAGTAAAGACTATAGACATATTAGTAGTCATAAAAAAAACTAACCCATGACCGGTTCTTATTATATAAATCCTTTAGTAGCTAGTGTAGATATTACAGTTAAATGAGGACCGCGATGGGGCCAACACCAGAGAGTAGTACCTAGTGTCTAGTGACACACGAACTCGTAATATGATCACGTATTTAGTGAGGTTATATTCAAAACGTTTTTACTCCTATTTAGGGAATTCTCTCATATTCCAGAGCAGTTTCTAAGCCACAAATCCCATTGCATATATGTTGGCTTACACGCACAAGAAAAAGCAGCAGTAACAAAGAACTGGATATTACACCAAATAAATGCAACATACAAGAGCTTGCACACGTGAAGATATAAATGATCTTTCTAGAAAATTCTAGTATAGATAGTTAGTTACAGATCAGTTACATGTACAAACTACTATTTATATCTTTCTAAGACTTTTAGTCAAGTTAGTTTTTAGCTCTTGTACTCATTAACTCTTCTTCTTCAATCAATAAGATGACGTTCTTCCATCTTTTCTTCCTTTACGCAAATATGCGTTTTGCATGAATGATTTCTTTAGAATTCATCATGGTATCAGAGAGATTCTTAGAAATCCGCTTAAAGTTATTCAATCAACATTGAATTTCCATAGTTTTCTAATCCACAAATCTGCAGAATGCCTCAGAACAAGCGATCAGTCATGGAAGATATGACTAGTCCTTTCTACATCAGATCAAGAGATAATCTGAACTCAGCGTTGGTTAATCCACAGTTGAATGGCCATAATTTTCATTCATGGAACAAATCAATGAAGATTGCACTAGGTGCTAAGAACAAAATGAAGATTGTTGATGGATCCTTACCTAAACCAAAACCTGATGATGAAGACTTCGAAGCATGGGAGAGATCTACCTAATGGCTCAATCCTGGATTCTGAACTCATGCACCAAACATGTGGCACAATGTATTCTGTATGAGGAGACACCTGCATCAATGTGGTCAATTCTGAATGAGCGGTTTGCACAAGGAAATCTACCTAGGGGTTTTGACTTGTAGAAACAGATTTATTCCACATTTTAAGGTAATCTCATTGTTACCGATTACTATAATAGGCTTGACTCATTGTGGAGAGAATCGAATCAGTATAATCCTGTCATTAGTTGTACTTGTGGTGCGGTGAAAGGATGTAAATGTGAATTTCTGAAAACTGTACTTGAAAGAGAAGAAAGAAATATGTCCATCAAATTCTTAATGAGCCTGAATGACATTTTTATTGGTATTAGTGGTCAAATTCTGGTAATGAAACCGTTTCCAATCCTGAACAAGGTTACACTTGGGTGATGAGCTCCCTTAGAAGTGGTCACCCATCCCAAGACTACTCCCGTGCAAGCACGCTTAACTTTGGAGTTCTTGGGTGATGAGCTCCCTTAAAAGGAGATTAGATGCACCTCTTTTGGTATGAATAGTACTATTAATCCATTTATATTAAATCTCAAGTGTTACAGGAGGACTGTATATGCTGCATCCACAAGCTGAAACTTCCATAGCTAATTTTCCACATATTTCTCATAATGTTGTATCTAGTATCTGGCACCACAGGCTGTGCCATGTTTCTGACTCTAAACTTCAACTGTTGAAGGATGATCTGCACTTTTTTGTTCTAGATAATAAAGGCTGTGATGTTTGCCCTTTAGCGAAACAGCAAAGGTTATCTTTTCCTAAGACCACAATTAAGTCAATAAAAGTTTTTTACCTCATCCATTGTGATGTTTGGGGTCCCTTCTCTATATCTACCCATGATGGTTTTCAATACTTCCTTACTATTGTAGATGATTTTTCTAGGGTTGTTTGGTGTTGTCTCATGAAACATAAATCTGAAACTAAACATCATCTCATGTCATTTCATAAATTTGTTTTGACACAATATTCCATCCGGATAAAGACCATTAGAACAAATAATGGAACAGAATTTTATCTCCTAGAATTCTATTCTTCTGAAGGAATTATACACCAAACAACCTGTCCATATACTCCACAGCAAAATGGAGTCACCGAGCGTAAACACCAAACTCTTTTAAACATAGCTAGAGCATTGAGATTTCAAACCAATCTTCCATTATCTTTCTGGGGAGATTGTATCCTTACTGCAGTCCATATAGTCAACAGACTACCTACTCTTGTTTTGCAAAACAGAACTCCCTTTGAGGTCTTTCATAATCAAAGGCCTGATTATTTTACTCTTAAGACTTTTGGTTGTTTTTGCTATGCATCTAATCTTTCTGGTCACAAACATTAGTTTCCATCTAGAGCCAGAAAGTGCATTTTCATTGGGTATCTTCCTCACACCAAAGGGTATAAACTCTATGACCTTGAAACATGTCAAATACTCAAATCAAGAGAAGTAGTATTTCATGAATCAACATTCCTTTTCCACTCTCATTCAACCACCAGTCATAATGATATCACCATTCCTACCTTTGTTTCAGATCATCCAAATCAACCATCATCTCCCACAGATCCTCATACTCCTCACATCATAACTCACCCTATATCTTCCACCACTGAACATCATATTCATGACTCAGATAACCAAACACCCATAAACCCATTTACCAATTCTCATACTTCTTCAGGCTCACA